TATTTTATATGTTCATAATGTAAATATTCATAGTAAATATTTGTTGTTTTCATTAAGTCTATTTATGCATATCTTCTCTCTCTTAAATGCATATGATCATATTTTTTAAGCATATGTTCACCTTTTAATTTGTTATATTCACTTTAAGAATGCTTACGTTCATATTTTGAATTGTTATGTTTATTTTCTGAAATGCATATGTTCATATGTTTTATGCTTATGTTCACTTTCTGAAAAGCTAATGTTCACATTTAAGGGAACTTATGCATATATTCATATTTTGCATGATTATGTTCATTGATTAAAAAAAATGCAGAAAATCAAATGAAATTCATACACAAATGAAATTGATCGAAGCCAAAAAAAAAAAAAAAAAAAAAATCAATTCATATGAATTCAAAAAATCAAATAAACAACCAATTCCATATTGTAAGTAACATATTCAATCGTTAAATCGAAAAAAACGAGAAAAATAGGAAAAAAAAAAGAGGAAAAAGGAAATAAAGAAGGAAAGAGAAAAAATAGAGTATAATTTGTGAATTCAAAGATTCATATATACCTTAGTCAATCAAAATTAAAACACAAAATCGAAAATTCACACAAAAATTCATACTTAATAACTACTTTCATGTTGTAAGAAACAAATTCAATAAAAAAAGTGTAAAAAAGGGGGAAAATTAAAAAAAAAAAAACAGAGGAGAGAGAAAATAAAAAATGAAGGAGAAAAATAAAAGAGAAGAAAACTAATGTTCACTTTCTGAAAAGCTAATATTCATATTGTGTTGTTGTTACACCTATTTCTAGGTGCATGAGTGTGCACCTAAGAATATGTGCATGACGAAATTAGTAAAACGCAATAATATTAAACATACGATGAAGATCTAAACAAGCAAGCCCAAAACAACTACGGAGTAATTAGCTTTTAAATAGTAAGCAAATTACAGCCCAATACTATCAAAGCTAATGATCATTTTGTAGTCATTTTGCAGTGGACTTTGCCATCTACTCATGAATGAAGTTTGTTTTCATAGGAAAATTTAGGGGGAACTTAAAAAACAGTAAAACACTCGTAAGGACAAAACTCTTACAAAAACTGCTAGAGGATTAACTCAACCAAAGGCTTAATCTGATAGTTGAGGCCCAGTATTGATTTATATTATGTATCGCGACCCTCACACATAAGAGGTCATTGGGCTTGAAATGTGGATGTAGCATGGGCCCTATAATTTCTAGTGTGAAATATTCCACTTGAAAGTGGGTTGATGAAATTTGAACTGGTGACCTTTGAGTCACAATAATTTTGAATTTTGATACTATATTAATGGACCATATAATATGTTATTTTAATAAACTTTAGTTGAAGCCCAATAATATGTTTATATACTCCATCAAAAACCATATAATCTTTTGTTATTCTACTAGGTTAACCGTGCGACGCACGGTTTAAATAATTAAAAACTTACTTGTATGTGTGTAATATAAATATTTTAAGCAAAACATAATAAATCGTGATCGATCCCATTAGTTAGATTAATTAAGATAAAAAATATTCTAATTACTTTCATAGTTATAATAAAATTTGTAAAATAGCATTCGTTTTTGATTCATTATACTGTAAAAAATTTAAAAAATTGATATAGAGGGAAAAAAAAATCCAAACTCTTCCATCACTAATAAATTGTATAATTAGTCATTTTTAGTCATAAAATCTTTTAAGAAAATGTATAATTAATCAATAATTTTCAAATATTAGCTTTAATTTGAAAAGGAAAAAAAGAGGAAAAAAAAGAGAGAGAGAGAGAGAGTGATGTCACAAATAGTTTAGGAGGGAATTTTTTTTTATAAGAAGGTGACACATAAACAATGGTGATGTCAGCAGTAATTACTTTAATATTAGTTATAGATACTTGTATTAACCTTCGATATATATACACTATTTTAGAGGGTGAGCTATAATTTAATTGGTTAAAACTTTCCTCCAATCGTCTACTGTCTACCCTTATAGCTCTATAAACACTAAAAAAATACATCAAAGCATAGAATTGTGTATAACCGGTTTACAATAATGTTGTATATACGACTATTTTCACTCACCAATACGAAGTACATATCAATATATATTTTTAATATTTTATATTTACTCATTTATAACTTTATTCATATATCGGGCAACATTTATGTTTTTCCAAGTGCTGAATATTATTATTCAATGTTCCCTTCTAGATAATTTAGATGTCTCACAAGTCACAACTTCATAAGTCATAAGGCATAAGTCATACTTGTAACACTCATAAGTCGTAACTGTTACTCGTAACATGCATAATAAGATGGGAAATCACATTGCGTATAATATAAAATGGAGTTGAATGCCCGGCAGTCCGGCGTCACATGGGTTATTTTGAATCATTTTTGTTCGTCAACTTCATTTCACATTCTTAAGTTATGGAATAATAATTCTTCAAAAAAAAAAAAAAAAAAAAAAAATGGAATAGTAACATACTTTCCGAATAATTAGGCATGTGATGATTTTCAGTGGATATATAGTTTTGAAGGTTATATGTTCCTAGAAAAATTATGATCGATTTACTTTATATTATTTCATTGTTTATGCTCTTATTAGGTGTGAATCTCTTCATTTGATTTTTGCTAAATTAAAATTATTTATACTGTAGACAATATTTCATATAAACTTTGTATGTTATTAAATAAGGTGATTGCTTTTCTCTATCTTATATATATGTTCTATTTTTCACAACATCTAGCATGAACAAGCTGATTAAAATTTCAATTTTTCTTTTGGTGAAGTGATTAAAATTTCATAAATGAATGTAAGTTAGTTGATTAAAAAAGTTTTAAGGGTGGTATTCAATATACTATAATAAATACTAGTACTACGTATATGAATTTAGGACATAGTAGCTGTGACAAATAGTATGTGTAATAAGAAAATTGTAAGGCACGTACAAAAAAAAATGTCAATTTTCAAGTATATATCCAAATTGAACTTGTCAATTTTTGAACAAATTTTCCTGGTCACAAATTCACAATATAATTCTTTTTGAAAGCAATTCGAAATATAATTGTCGTATTAGAATTGGTTGATGATAATTTTTTTTTGAAAGCAATTCAAACAACGAAATTGGCATTAATTTTGGCAATAACTGGTGGAAGTGTTTTATTTTATTTTATTTTATTTTATAAGGTCTTGTAAAATTACTCGCTCATATAAAAAAAGAAAAAAAAAAAAAATTTAAAGCACAATAACTCACTAGAACTCCGTATTGTTGACGAATGAAGACTTGAAGGTATTGTCAACATTGTCGTCCGTGACTAATACACTGAAACATATTGCAGAAATTCTTAGTATGACGTACCAACTACTCCGTATGTATAAAATTTTTCATTGAGTTAATGAATTGTTGATCACAATTCTCAGCATGCAAAAATAGGGCAAAATATCTAAGTTAAATATGAATATTTTATACGGAGTATTAGAAAAATGTTTATGTATTTTGTGTAACCGTATCAATGTGTCATCGATACTTTAAAATTATACTCGTATTTGTTAGACATAATCAACCGTTCGTCATTAAACATCTCTTACTAGGTATAAAAACTTGATTGATTGAGTTTTGTTTAGACACTAAAATATTACAATGAATGCATCGTTCACTTTCGTGTGTTTTGTGTGCGGCTGACCACATCATGCATGTAGCAGCTTGTAAAATAGCAAGGTAACACCTGTAACACTAATTACCAAGTTCCCCTGTAATCATGACCGAATAATTAACCTCTATAACACTAATTACCAAGTTCCCCTGTAATCATGACCGAATAATTAACCTCTATAACACTAATCAAGTAACCCTATAACACTGATGAAATAACTCCTATAACACTAACCAAGTAATCCCTATAAAAATTGGCCAGCCACATGAAGTAACCTTCATAACTTCATGATGATGACCGTCGCATATTAAAGTTGGTGTTTTTCCTTTATGGGAGACCAACATGTAGATTTTTTTTTTTGACTAGAACATGTAGAATTTTATAAGCCTTAATATAATTCCCCCCTGTATATACTTTTTTTTTGTGAGGGAAATTCCCTGTATAAACTTAATTGACTGCTGACTTATGAAATCATTAATTAAGTAGTAATTGGTGCAAGCTTAGCTAATTATGTTCAATACTTCATGCTAACATGTGCTTATAACTATATTTGTCTAACTGCTAATCAATATCTAGCTTATTAACCTTCACACCAACTAATTAATTCACGTTAATATATACGCCGACTTTTTATAACTTATAAGTTTATTTTCACAAATCACAAGTCTTAGAGCAACTCCAATGGCAAGCTAATTGTCAAATTAGCTTGTCATACCACATAAGTTTTTAAGCTAATTGTCATTTTAGCTCCAATGGCTAGCTAATATCTTACTATTAAAATGGACCAAACCTCCTTAATTTTTGTTGTTAAATTTCATTTTATTTATTCTAATTTGTTATATTTTAGAAGTTTTTTTCCAAGCAAATTAGCTTGACACTAGCTAATTGCATTTTCTAGCTCCAATGGTTAATCGAGTAGTTAGGGATTAATATGTTGCAAGCAAGTCCCTAGCTAAGTAGCTAGTACAACCATTGGAGTTTGTCCTTGATTAATGCATTAAATGAAGAAGATTTGGTGAGTTTACTATAGGAAAATATAAGGTAGTAAGGGTTGTGAAATTATGCAAGACAAAATTATGTGAAATTGTGAATTACAAGTACTTTGTGATATTTTGTTTGACTTGTCGTGTCTAAACTTATTTTATTATAACCTTATGAAATTACGGAAACAATTTAAATTCATTTAATTAGTAACAATTTATTTATGTATGCAATAGTCTTTAAAAATCTACTTCAATTTGTATGTTGTTTAAACTGTATGAAATAATTAAGCGCAAGGGCTTGGGAAAAAATGACAATTTATAACTTATTTAGATGAAGAAGGTACTTTATGTTTGCTATGAAAAAGCAACCATGTTTCTATGTTTTAGTTTACTAAGAGATTGGAACATTCATCAGCATTTTGTGGACCTCTCATGTGGAACAATCTCATCTACTAAAATTCATAGAACTTGTTCTAATAATTTATGCCGAAGATGTAGTCATTAGTGTACGTTCATGCATCAATCATCTAAATATCATTATTTCAGATCTAATCACAAACTCAATTAAGTACACACAAAGGCAAATATTCAATTATTTTCCCTTACTTCAAGATTTAAAAAGACTAAAATCCAACATCTCAATTTACCCTTGCACCAAAAACAATTCACCCTATATATTCATCATTCGTATTATTAAAAAAAAAAATTATATTTTTGCATTATTCACAATATCTTTTTCTCCTCTAGAAATTGGGGAATTAAAAAAAATCCGTCTTTTATACTTCTTTTAGCAACTAACAAGAGAAGAAATGTCCTAAATTACCCTTCAATGACAAATATAGTTATATTGGTAATGACACAATAGATACATTGTTTCTTGATAGAATTATTAAAAAATTAGCCGGACTCTTTTCCTGTCTTGATTTATTGGTAACATATCAAATATGGAACAAAAAGATCAAAAGTTTCTGTAAAGAAGTCAAAGAACTTCTTAAAAAAAAATGATATGGAGTACATTCTAATTTGTATAGTATACCCAAATTTTAATTGTGAAAAGACAAATGAGGAAATAGACAACAAAGTTTTATTAAACAACCATGGAAACTACAATAGCCCCCAAGGCCAAAACTCCTGAAACCAGTCTCTCCCCTGCACCCGTCCCCGGTGGCGGAGCCGAATCACCGAAACTTGAACCCGATGGCGAACCGGCAGGAGATCCTCCAGGAGCTCCAGCACCAGTCAAGCTAAGCTTCAACACGGCATTACGATTGGCCGGCTCCATTGCATGCTTTCCTATGCCATCTTTCATCATAGGTCCGACCTGCCACACCGTGTTGACCGTTGACTCACCCTTGGGTATGACCCACGTGCCGAACACGGTGATCTTGCCGGAAGTCTCCTCGGCAGAGAGGGAGCTAACATTGTAAGAAATAGGTCCCTTCTTGATGTCATGATAATCACGTAGGTCATATGTGTCTACGGTTACTGAGTCCTTTCCCTTGTGAGCTACGAGTACTTGGGCACCTTTCATGCCCGGGGCCGTAGGGTTCAAGCCCCATCCAACCCAACCATCGGGTTGTGGGGGCGAGGCCGTGAAGGCCATGGAGAGGGAGGACTTGGAGGTGTCATAAGTCCAATGTAGGACTGCATCTAGGGTGGGGAGATCATTGCAATTTTCAAAGGTAACGTTGGAGGAGAGTTTAAGTGATTTACATGTGGTTTGAGAGAATGCAGGGTGGATGAAGAGAGAGAACAGAGAAAGTGAGAAAATAATGTAGATTGAGGAAGACATTTTGTGATAGAATTGCAAGGAAAAACTAGGATAGTTTTTGGGGGTTTATATAGAAGAAAAGAATGTTAGGTACAGTTGATTTCATATGATTTTTATTACTATACAAGAAGATTGACTCTGAATAAAATAAGGAAATCATGGAATTTCACTTAATTTAGAGATTTTGTGAATTATTACAAGGATGGTCCGTTAATTTTGGGCTTAATTAACAAACAGAATAGTAATAAAAACGATTTGTATTACCTTATATATTATTGGATAACCAAGTATACATTGGTGTCAAACGTGTAAATCTTTTATTTCAATGGCTAAAGTTGATTTGTAGCTAAAGAAAGCAAAATGATTCATGCAAAAATTTTATTCTCTTTATAGTGTTTTATGTATAATACGGAGTAATAAATTACATAATTATTTGTTCAAAAAAAAAAAATACTAATAATTATAGACATTATTTGAGATTTTTCTTTTAGTACCCCACATGTGCTAACACTTCCTTCCATTATTCCTTGTTCCTTCCTAGAATCCTAGTTGAAAATTAAAAAATGTCACAATGTCCTACAAAAAAGCTACACTTTGCTTGTTTTTCTCTCGAAAGATAATCCGTCCCTCATACTACATACTTCGTATAACATTAAGGCATAGAGAACCACAAAGGCCAAATATTGTAGATGACATTTGATCCTAAATCTAGAAGAGTACCACGGAATGACATAAAATTTGCAATAATAGTTATGATTCACAAATCACAATACATAACTTCGTAATAATTTATCAACTGATCATTGCCTTCAAAAGACATCAACCAAATTCAAACCATAAATTATATACTTAACTATGCTTTAATTTCTCTTTCCACCCTTACTATGAAGGCAATCTTTTTTAAGCTTTTTTTCAGTTTTTTGGATATTGCTTTACTGCTAAATTAGGGTGGCCGTCTTTATGTATGTTACCAGTATAGCCGGTTTAATACGAAGTATGTATTATAGAATTGCCATATCTCTAACAAAACCCAAATACATTATTGTATCTACACGAATCCATTGCTAAGGTAAAAAAAAATAAAACTACAGCAACGAAAAAAAAGGTTAATTTAATGAAATCAAAACACATTCAGCCACAAAAGGCTTGATATATTTCTGATATGTTGCAATTGATCAATATATCTTGATATATTTCTGATATATCAATCATTCAGCAACAAAAGGCTTGATATATTCAATCATTCTTGATATATTTCTAAATATGTTGCAATTGATCAATATATCTTGAAGATTTATTCATCCAACAACATTACAATCAGTCATTCTTGATACATTGATACTGGTCAATATCCTGATGATTACAATCCAGTTATTCCTGATATGTTGTGATTAATCTACATCTCGAAGATTATACGAGTAAATTCCCACTAGATGGCCACATCAAAACACATTCAGCCACAAAAGGCTTTAGTCTTCCCAATTTATAGCTAAAATAAACCACTTACTGGACGTCTGGACAACAATATCAGACTCAATAAAATGGTGTGTTCAGGAATGGAAAACACTAAACAATGTACTACAACCAGTGAATTAAGTCAATATTCATAAATGTGGAAGTATGAAAGCGCCAACCCTTGCAGTAACCATCTCACTTTACCAAAAACATGGGAAAATTCACTTTTCAGTCTTCACTAATTAAGTACATGGCTACTGTAACAATTCTTAGAAGCTGAAGTTAGCCAAATATTTATACTTTTCTTCAGGCACTACTAAATCTTGGACCAGTAATTACACAGAGCTGATAGGGCAAAGGGGCTCGAATTATAATTTTGGGTGGGAAAAACCAAGCCGTGACTCACATGAACATGTTCCGCAGGCAAAAATTGAAAAATAAAAGTGCCTCATCTTGCCAAGCATACCTGCTGGTACTTTCAAGCTGGGAGAAATGATTCCAAGATCAACTTTGTTTGAGAAGGGTGGAGTATGTCAACAATCATATACATGTATTTCCACTGATTGTCTTCCTTGTCTTTGAACATCTCACAATAGACTTTTCCATTCCCACTAGGACCACGAATATAAAAATTCACCTGTATCAAGAACATAGCAATAAAGTTGATCGAATTAGTGTTTCTTCTAATTCAAAAAAGCCCGCATTAATTTTTATTTTGTTACTTTGTTATTCTTTGGGGGAAGGGAAAAAGTAAGACAGGGGTTGAATGAGTTTACAAGAAGTAACTAACGTGTATCATGCATGACCATCAGAAAATCACAAAACAAATAACTAGCATTCCCTCCCGCTGGAAGTATCTACTCTTCTTCAAAAACATGCATGCAAAGATAGTGCATAAGTGAACATGGTCAAAAGACACGACAAGCACTTGTTAATCCACAGATCTTTTTACAGTGTACAATCTATGCAAAAACAGCGTGATATTGCAATCTACGCTCAAAGTGCATGTGAAATGTAACAATTGTAACCCTAACCATAATAAAATTTTAAAAATTCCCAAGTGTAACCATGAGGTTGAATAGTCTGACTCTAAATGCTACAATGCTATTCCGCTACAAAGTAGAATTTTGAATGAAGAAAAATTATCAATCCTACAACATATACCGTATTGTTCATGAAACTTTAAATTAATTTGAGCTTCCTATTATCATAACTGAAACTCGCTAAATCTCTATACAAGCATCAGAAGTTCCCTCAAAATTTCATTTACTCCAACATATTCAGAAAGAATTCACATAGAAATAATCAAGATTGAACATTATATAGATATTTACTTTCTTGAAAAATGGGATGAATATAGAAGTAATCTTTTTTATTTTATTTTTTTTTCTTTCCTGAAAACTGGGATGGAAACTGTTTTCTTTAACTTTAAAAATGATACTCTTTGTCAAAAAAAAAAAAATGATACTCCCACCGTCCTGAATTAGCAGCAACGCTTTGGCCAGCACACGATTTTTGGCACTTTAACTGACTGTATGATATTGCATGGTAGCTGACAATAAAGATTTTTTTTTTATTTAAATAGTTAGTGAGAAAATGATTCATTAGTTCTTGAGGGTGTGAGTGAGGAGTTTCTTGTTTATAATGCTATTATAGAAATTAAGCGGTCTCAACGTAAGACAAAAATAATAAGAAATGGAGAGTTCATGCCTTAAATAGAAGTATTGCAAGTAATTTGGGATGATTTTACAAAGAGAGTGACGCAAGTAATTTAAGATGGATGGGGTATTTAGAAAAGATGAGAATAAGCAGTCTTCTTGTCCTTCACATTAGACTCAAACACATTATAGAGTAACATTAGTAAATAGAAGTGTAAAATGTGGGGGGCCTTCAAAGGTGGCTTCTGCTGCAAACTCTTACAAAGGCAAAAACTAGAACAATAATCCAGTAATCATTAGAAAGATGAACAGCAGAAGCCAGTGGGAGACATCAAAACCAGAAAATAAAACCCAAGTATTACAAGTTGATAACTGATGGCTTATTTTTGCAAAAGGTACTGCAAAACCCGTACCTGATTTCTTACAGCCTTACAGGAGAGGGGTCCAACTCTATACAGACAAAATCCTTCACCTAAATTTAACATCTGAAACTACATATTCCTTGATTGAAAGAAAGTTTTCTACTCATACTGTATAAGTTGCAAATGTGGGAAAGAATTGGCCTAGAGTGGTACATACTAAGATAGCATAGAGGTCCTCTGGGAGTCAGCAAAGAAAAACACACTTAATTGAACAATGCTCATATTTACAGCATCTATCGATGCCTCTTCTGTCCACAACATACCATGCAGATATATTAATCTCATAACTAAGACAGCATTACTGGTGAAATAACATATTACAATTAATTTATTTATGCAGCTCCTAATTGCCGATCATCAAGTCACTTCCTCACATAACCTCTTTGACTTGCAAGAGAGAATTAATGCCCCACCCCCACCTCCAAATAATGAAATAAGAGAAGCTGGTTAAAGCAAATACTTGCACCGACATGAATAGAAGTCACACAACAGAAAAACGGAAGCAATGTTATTGTTATAAAGTATAAAATTACCTCAATATGTTCCACCCCATGTTCATCAGTCCATACTCTATGTGGAATCCTTTGGCGAGCAGCACGATTCCTGCTCTCCTGGCCATATCCTTTAACAGGTGATCCAATCCTCACTCTGACCTGAAATAGGCAACTTTTAACTTATTTTAGCATGTCTCAGAAAGTATAAGCATCTTGTAGAGAATAACAATTAAAGTTTTAAGCTAAAAAGTCTTTATAATCGTTGAAAGGCAAGTAACCGTACAATAAAAAGAAAGGTTATGACACAATTATTCTATTAGTGCATTTGCTTTGGTCATGGGTTGGGTTGTGATTCCCACAATAAAGCTACCAAAAAAGAAGGAAAACTCTAACCTTTGTTTTGCTAATGCTAATTGACACAAAACTTCTCAGGAAAGCAAAGCTCGTAAAATTAAAATTAGAGCCTCAAATAGAGTAAAACAAACCAATTAAGACATCTCTTGGAGTGCTTGTATCAGCTATCAAGAGTCAAGACTCTAAGACAATCATATGGTCATGCTACAGGAATATTACACCTTACTCAAATAATGGCTGTGGATGAGGGAGAGACATTGAACATCCTTTCTCCACTTTCCATTTACCTAACTAGATCAACTTTTAAAAGACTAAAACAGCAAGCAATAGATAAACAACTTTATTCTTTCTTCAATATTGCAACAATTGAATTTTAAATTAGTTGACAAACTTCCTTTGATCAACTCTGATATTTACAACAGGAAAAAGCTAGTCATGTGGGATATTGTAAGAATTGTCTTGATGTATACTTCCCAAATGCTTTTTAATTTTGTAACAATTGAAGATATTGATGCCTTGATGATTAAAGTTGTATGTTGGGTGCATAAAGCTCCAAATGTTGCATATTGCAATATTAAAGGAATAGATGATATCTTGCAAGATAGGTACATGCATACCAGAAAAAAATTTGTAAAATAGAAATTAATATCTAACCTGACTATCATTCTGAATCCTATCCAATGCCTTGTTAAATACTTTGTACCTATAACAGATCATAAACTCATAAAC